GTCTTTTGATGAACTTATTTAGCTCACAGGGATCCAAGCAGATGCGTAGTGATCCGTTAGTAGGCTTGGTGACCAACACAATGCTGTTCACCCAGTCACTGGGTTCTTGCACTTCCCTGATGATTCCAAGCTGTATTAGGCGGTCCAGTTCATGTTTCAAGGGTACTTTCAATGCATCTGGTGTTCTTCTTGCTGGATTTATCAGACAGCTCAATTTTGTAGTCCGTGTTTATCTTGCCAACACCTTCAAATATATCTGGATTGTCCTTTACTAACTGCTCTTTGGTGCTGTACGCTATAGTTTCCTCCGCGTCATATTCTGCATTTGCGTCCCTCACAAAGGAATTTGACCTAGTCCTAGGCATGTGCATAATCTTAAACCAAATAGGTTGTTTCCATGCTCTGATATGAAGAATTCTACATCTCTTTCCTGTTTGCCTGTTTCAACAACAGGAATTGTAACTCTTAAAAGGTGTATCTCCATACCCACTGAGAGTACTTCTGAGGAGTTCGGCTTATGGTCTAGACCAAACAGTGTTCTGTATGTTGTATAATTCAAAAGGTTTGCTTGAGCTCCGGTGTCAATCTTTGCTTTGAGGAGTTTTTGTCCCTGTGTTGTGCTAATCTTGATCACTGCGAATTTGTCTTTCATTCCTCTTGTGCATTCATCAAACCCAGAATTCTCAGCACTGTCAGACTCATAATCTGTCCTCACTTCATGTGTTTTCTTTTCGCATTTCTTATTTGTTTCTCCGCTTTTGGCTGAAGACTGACACCTTCTTGCCCAGTGGTTTCGCTTTCCACATTTCTTGCATATTTGGCCAAAAGCTGGACACTTTCTCGGCTGATGGGTTAAACCACAATTTCTGCATTCCTTGTGTGTTCGCTTTGCTGACTTTACAACATCAACTGTTTTAGATGTGCGTGGTTGTTCCATGAACTTTAGTGCAGATAAGTGAGCATTGGAAGCTTTATAATTCCTTCCAAGGGCAATTGCTTCATCCAATGTATATATCTTAGCTTTGCTAGTAGCTCTTTCTGGAATTCTGGTATTGGTGTAGCGGCAATAATTAATTCAATTATTCGCTCCTGGA